ATTCAACCACGACGACGCGCGGCTAACATGTTCATGTGGCCGACGAAAAGAACCGAGTCATCTCTTCTATTGCCGAAAGATCCTGCCGCGACATCGGATGAGGCTGGCCCCCTCACCGACTGCGGCAGTCAATCGTGCAATAGGCAGAGACTTCGACAAGTTCGTCAAGCTGGCGAAGGCATCTTCGAATGGGCGTGTCCTCGCCACTAGGCGAACGTCCCAACCCTCCCGTTTCTCCTCTCCTTTGTATCTTTGCATGACCAATGCATACTCTGGCCCTTGTAGGCGGAGGGTGCGTCCACACCCTTTGCCCGCCCGGGTCATGCGAGGCTGCTCGCAGCCCCCGACGACGGCCTCTTTCGAGACCAGTAGAACACGGCACTTAGATGCCGCGCTTGGACGACCCGCTGACGGGCACCGAGCACGAATTGGAGCGCCTCAGAGCCGATGAAATGCTGGATGGTGGTTTGTTTACTTTTCGCGATGGGGAAGAGGGGGGATCCGAGGAGGTAATCTCTGAGAGACCCACCAGAACCTGTATCGATAACGTAGGATAGACCCACTAGCTCAGCACGTCCTGTGCCCCATAGGGACCTGAGCGGCCTCACGGCCGCTGGACGGAAAATACACTACTACTACTAATGGCCACGGGAGCACATCCTTCCCTGCATTTTTACTTTCTTGGCATGCAGCTGTTAAGAAAGTAGCCCAATACACACCTTATTCCTTAATAAGTACACCGTAATCCGCCCAATCTGCGCTCTGCGCAGCCGGCGGCGGCGGCGGCGATGGCATCGGCCTCGTCCAGCCCGCCTCATGATGATAATCCTTTCGACCTGGGTCCCAGGACTCCCTCCGGCTTAGCCAGAGGAGCGCGCGTCGCCCTTCTGCGCAACAGCCCCGCCACCCGTGAGGGCGAGATTGGCGTCTCGCGCTCTGCGCCACGGACGGCATACACGCCGTCATCGCCGCTTCACGCGGTCTCCTACGCTGCAGCCACGGAAGGAGCTCAGCGCGCTGTCCATTTCGACTCTAGCGAACCCGACCCGCAGCCCGCTGACGGTCCCGTCTCAATCACCAATGCCGCCGACAAGCTCGTGGTCGCCCAGAACGAGGTCTATAGCGCCAAACTAGCCGTGTTCAGGGCATTCTGCTCCTCATTCGACGACACGGCGAAACAGTTCACTTCTGGACCCGCACTTCAATTCGCCCAGAAGTTTTCCAGCAGCTTCCTGCAGTACTGGACCGACGTACTCGCCGGCACGCACACCAACCTCCCTCCGACGAAGCCCTCCTACGCATCTGCCGTCGCCGCCAGACGCCCAGCCCCAGCTGCTGCGGGGACCACCGCAGACCCTGTCAGCGCAGCTCCGCAGAATCAATGGCATCAACAGTTGCCCCCGCGTCGTCAGGGGCAACGCAAACGGCTGCCCCCACCGACAGACGACTTCCGGGTCTTCGCCCGCCTCCACCCCGGCCATACCGCCGACATGTCTCAAAGTTTCGCCGTCCGGACCCACATCGCCGACAAGCTCGGCATCGCCCGGAGCCGTATCCCGGAAGCCCACCCCTGCAAAACCGGATGGGCCATCCGCGCTGCTGACTTGGCAACCAGGGATCTTCTGACTGAACGGCAGGCCGAGTGGGCTCCTGACATCTCCGCGCAGATCGTTGAAAAGCGACAGGAGTGGTACACGTATGCGGTCCAAGGCTGCCCACGCCGCTTCAATAACATCTTTGGCGAAGCCATCGACGACGAGAAGGCGATCCGAGACGAGGTCGCCACGCAAACCGGCCAAACCCCGGAGAGGGTGATCACTGCGAAACAGGACTCGGATCAGCGCCCGACCCGGACCCTGTTCATATCCTTTGCCAAGGAGGTCAAGCACTACTGGCGCCTTTTCGACACGACGAGCTATGCGAGACTCATCGTCAAGACCAACCCGCCGAAGCAATGTGACAGTTGCTGGGACTACCATTCACGCTACAGCTGCGGACGCCAGGCACGCTGCAAGAACTGCGGCAAGACTGGCCACGCCCAGGACACCTGTACAGCCACACAGCAATGCGCCAACTGCCACGGGCCGCACGCGGTTGACTTTCCCCAGTGCCCGGCTCGCCCCAAGAAGGTGAACGGAGCATTCCACAGCCTCAACAGGCCCGAGAAGAAACTTGTCCAAATCATGGGCAAACGACTGTTCAAGCAGTTTACAGCAAAACCAGAATCTCCACCGCGGGATCAGCCCACGAGCCTCGAATCCGACTCAGCGACAGCGAGCGACACTACCTCCGCGTCCAGCCGGAGCACACCGACGACAAGCGACGCAATCACACCGGAGCCCGAGAGGGAAAATAGTGCATCACGCCCTAGCGAAACACCCTCCGCCTCTCCGGCAGCTCCAGCTGCCCCGAACAGTCAAGCATCGCCGACTCCAAGCTCTGCAAGCTCCTCCAGCGGTAGGCAAAACACACCAGCAGCGGCCAGCCCCATCAAACCCACTTCAGCTACGCCCATGAACTCCGCCGATTCGGTACCCCTTCGAGCCTCGTCGGCACGCAGCGAAAGAAGTAATTCTCCGCCCGTGAGGCAGAGCATCGAGATGTCTCAAGAACCGAACGAGTACGTTGGGAATGGCCGAGCACCACCCGCAAGCCCCTCGCCCGCGAGATCCTCGCTGAGCCCAGCTCCCTCGGTCTCCACGCCCACGCCGTCGCTCTCCTCCACGTGCCTCCTCGGAACTCCGGCTCCTGAGATCCGCACCTCCAGCCCTCAGCCAAACACTTCGCCAAAGAAGCGCCGCCTTGCCTCCCCAGACCGGCCTCTATGAACAGACGACCTAGACGACAGCACCGTGACAAGCGACTCTTCCGGGTCTTTCAAGCCAATGTCGGCAAGAATGGCCCCTCGCACGATTGCGCACTTGCCCTTGCTGATGCAGAACGATACGAGGTCATACTACTACAGGAACCCTGGACGCAAGTCCGTGACTCCCGCTGCCTCACCAAATCACACCCGGCGTACGACACCTACTCACCGGTCAGCACCTGGGAAGACATCGACACCCGACCGCGCGTCATGACATATATTCGCCGGGGTGCAAGACTCTTGGCGGACCAGCAACGTCCCGCCCTCTCCCGAGACATTCTCTGGCTCGTGGTCAATGGCGTCACTCTGGTAAACGTATATCGGGAACCGAACCTGGACAATGCCCTCGAAGTCCTGTTCGCATGGCCGATTCCCAGTCAATGTATTATCGCAGGCGACTTCAACGCGAGACATCACACGTGGCAGATTGGCCCCTCCCGCGGCCACGGCGGCATCATCGCAGAATGGGCCGCAGAAAACGATTTAGATCTCCTCAA